CCAAAATCATCAAGGTGTGCCAATATATTGTGCAGCAGATTGAGACAGAGAAGTCCCCCATAAAACTTTTCATAAGGGCTAGAGATCAGGCTATTTTCAAAGCCGTTTTCTTTGCGGGAGACAGGGTAGGAGATCTCTTGAGGACTAGGACTAATCAGGTGTATAGGCTCGCGTCAGGAGCCCTTTTGTTTAATCATGTGTGGGGAAAAACATTGAGGGACGGCAGACAGAATGTGTTCGCGTTAGAAAAAACAGGGGATACGGCTTCATGCCCAGTAGAAGCTATAGATTTTTATGTTGACATGGCTGAGTACTTATCTGTAAACTTGAGTGGTGGTATGCTGTTTAGGGCCACGTCAAAGCAAGGTCAGGTGCTAGAGAATCAACCCACTACTTCAGCGGTCGATGAGTCTTTTAAAAGATACCTAGAGAAGTGCGGCATCTACGAGGGGGAAAGATTACATGGCTCTCGAGCGGGATGTGCTATTTCCCTTCATATGGCAGGGGCTAGTGAAGAAGATGTAATGTCTCATGTGGGGTGGGTTACTAAAAGGACAGCATCACATTATATGAAAATAGCTAAAGTAATGAAGCCAGGTGGACCAGCATCAAAGTTGGCCACGGAGCATGTGTCAAAAGCAGTACAGGAGTACATGGAACAAGATAACTTGGTAGGGTTACAGCCCGCGTTTTAATGGGCAAAACAAAATAAGAACGGGAAGAAGAAAAACATGAAAGGTGTTAATAAGAAACAGATCTAGATAAGGAAGGGGAAAGAAAATGAAGTACGAAAGATAAGTGATGTAGCTTGGACACTGGTGTCATAATATGTTGGAGCGTCTTATGGGAATGTGTTACGAATAAAGAAGAACAGAAGACTAATGTCTTGTCTTTGTTTTAATATATTGAAAGCTTTGTGAAAAGAGAAAATAAGACAAGGAACAAGGAATAAGTAAGGGGATGAGAGAGGGAAGATGAAATAGGGAGGAGACAGGAAAGGAAAGAGCATGGAGAATGTAAAAGGACGACAATAAGAATGTGGGGCGCGACGAAGGCGCGGACCCCATAACTCATAGGGATGATCCAATGAGTGCGCAGTGGGGATAGGTTACTATTCCCACTGCGCGCTGATTGGATCAGACTAATGAGTACACCTGTGAACACCATATAAGTACAGAGAGACAGATCACCCCATGTGCACACAGAGGATTCTTCCAACACATACCGAAGAAGTGCGACGATGGCTGACAGAAATAAGAGAGGGGAAAGGGGGAAAGGGAAGTGGAATAAGGGAAGGGGTTTTCCATGGGAAAACATTCCTTCTTACATCCATCCACCCACCCACCCACCCACCCGTTATCTGTACTGGAGATGTAACGGGACTTCTCAGTCGTCTGTTGCGCGACTTCGGCGCGGACCCCATAACTCATAGGGATGATCCAATGAGTGCGTAGTGGGGATAGGTTACAATCCACACACAGGCAAACATGTCTGTCCTTGGTACTGAGCACCATCAACATACAGGCAAACATGCCTGTCCTTGGTAATGAACACCATCCACATACAGGCAAACATGCCTGTCCTTGGTACTGAACACAATCCACACACAGGCAAACATGTCTGTCCTTGGTACTGAGCACCATCCACATACAGGCAAACATGCCTGTCCTTGGTAATGAACACCATCCACATACAGGCAAACATGCCTGCCCTTGGTACTGAACACAATCCACACACAGGCAAACATGTCTGTCCTTGGTACTGAGCACCATCCACATACAGGCAAACATGCCTGTCCTTGGTACTGAACACCATCCACACACAAACACACCTGTCCTTGGTACTGAACACCATCCAAACACAACACACCTGTCCTTGGTACTGAACACCATCCACACAGGCAAACATGCTAGTCCTAAGTACTGAACATCTTCCACACACGGGGAAACATGCCTGTCCTTGACCCACACACAGTTTCGATTCCACTGAAAACGATAGACCCTGTGCATGGTAGTTTGCAAATTGTTTATTTGTGATAAACGTAAATTGAGTACAGAATATACAGAGGAAATATGTGCGCCACAAGGGTTCTTAAGTGCTTAAATGTTGCAAATAAAAACATGTAGGCAAATACAGGCAAGCCGTTCAGTAAATAGCTCTATTGACTTAACAAATGATGTTAGAGGTACATCTACAGAATGTATTCGGTGAAATTTATCTATTCATTTATTCAATCTCAAGACGGCTGGGTGGCCCCTTTCAGCCTAAAATGGCTGTTTCTCAAGGGGGCCCAGCTTGCCACAGGACAAGGTTACATACAGTAAAACAAACTTTAAGGAGGAAAACATACAGTAAACATAACAACATTAAAGTCTAATGCGTCGAAAACAAAATCATAATCCAATACTCAAGGTCTTAGCCATTATGATACGAGTGTTATCAGCAGATGAAGCTCCAAACGTTCTACGGGTACGTTTAATTTGATTAAAGTATTGACATGAAAATCAAAGGAAGCAGATTAAAAAACAACTGCAATACCTCCCCCCAACGTCTTGTCACGACAAAACATTGCTGACTGTTTATCTTCCGATTCTAAACGGCCGTCAGCACCAAACCAGCACTCATTGCTCAATCTCTGTGACTTCTATTAAAGGAAAATATTTGTGTTAGTAACAACTAACTCATGTTCAAGATGAAAAAAATGACATGTACAGAACAGCATCGAAAAAAATAATGTTGGCTATTTACCTTTGAACTTTGACTTACTGTCATTCGTTTCTGGAGAGAGAGAGAAAGAGAGAGAGAGAGAGAAAGGGGAGGAAAGGAAAAGAGAATTGTTGTTATTTTCAGTATTTGTTATGGTAAATTATATATATAAATCGTTAAAAAAACTTTGGCTTTCAATTGCAAACAGTCAATAACAAAATGTTTCTTTTGCCTTTTCGTCATATCCTGTATTCAAAATTCACATTTTTGAGCCGTGAAAACACAAACGTTGAAATGGTGTATAAAAACATTTAATAGAAAAAAAAACTATTTTCAAGAACAAGATAGAGGTGTACTTTCATGCTTTCATGCTAAAACTGGAACGATGTTTCCTGAATAAGGACATTTGAAACTTAATCATAGTTTTTACGTAGAAAACCTGTTACAGATAAACGTACTCTGCTTCACACATGTATCGGCTGTTAGTCAGCAACCGGGCCACCTACCGTGTGATGTTATGCGGCCAATCCCGCGTCTGTATTGACAAAACATTTTGCTTAGTGTTGGACATAACGCTACTTTAAAGATTTAGCCATTTCGTCATGATATATTATCCTGAGTATAGCCGATCCCCACGACCCGCTACCTGAGCTTAGCGGATCGTGGGGATGGGACGAAAGCGAACGAAGGCTGACAAACAGGCTAATAATATAGTCGAGGGATCTGGTCTTGGTGTAGCAGCTTTTTAAAACGATTTTTCTGAAGACTTTGAAAGATCTGTCTTTATGATCAGTTATTCATTTCTTGAGCATTACAAAAAGGAGAATAAAGAATAACGTTATATGCACAGGGAATGCACTCTCTGCGTGTCTTTTTGCTGCGTACATGTATGACTCGACCTGGAGTGACTCCCTGTGACTACTACTAACGGGGGGTGCCCTAATTCCGACCTACCTCTAATTCCGTACTAGTTTGAAAAATCCTTGTTGCGGCGTTATGCATGGGAGCACGTGCCAAAAAATAACCACAAGAATGGACAAAGTTTTTGTGTTGATATCGGTAATCTCACAAAGTTTTAGTTCGTAACTTTACATTCCGACAACAGACGAGTGAAAAATCTGTTTGAATTCGACGCTTGTTCGGGGGTTGACGAGCGTGTCAAAAATGCAGGTTTTGCTTTTGAAACAGCCGCTTTGGAGCAAGCCGCGTAATCGTAAAAGAGGACTTGTTTGGGACAGAAAAACAGTTGTAGAATGTTTTAGTCATAATTTGTGTACTATAATTTCTAAACTCTCTTCTCAGATCGACCTGTGTTAAACACTAGGTCGGAATTAGGGCACCCCTATTGCGATAGAACGTTCCACCGGCAAAATGACCAAAAACCTGCCGTAAGTTTCGTGAACCATTACGCTTGGATGCAAGGCGCTACACTGAAGTGAAATAATACACAGCTGTGCAGCTTTAATCGTTGTTGTCTTTATCAGTCAATATTATAGCTCATGTTGCGCGGGGTTTTGGCCAGATAAACTATTACCAAAGGTATGTGCGTTTGCATGGAACATAGGTCGGAATTAGGACCCCTCCCGTTACTAAAGTAACGTTACATTGTAGTGTGAGACTGTACATTTACCGTGAGATCCTGCCAGACAAATCGAGAAACATTATTTACTCCCAAGATAGCCTACAATGTACTAGTATATGATAACTGTTCATCATAGCAATACACATGTATGGTAACACTGGGTATATGATACACAATCGTCCCCACCAACCTCTGCACGATTGTAGTGCCTAGTTAATACCTTTGAAAATCCTTTTTTCTCTTGAAAATTTTGGTCCATTTTGGAGTTTTTTGGGCTGGAAGGCACAGGTAGGGTCTAAACTTTCCTACATTGGTCAAGTTTTGTTTATTTCACCAGTTTAGTGGGCGTAGTGAGAGATGTGAGTGGTTAGGTCTTGTCTGGCCAGGCGGATGGATACCAAGGAAAATGTAGGTCAAAGTTGAGGTTCGTTTACTATCATCAGCTGTGGTGGGAATTTGAGGTGGTCGACCCCCTGTTTTCTTTCTATATGTGGGAAGCAGACCCTTGTGGCTACCTGGTGCAGAAGAATTTTTGAGATTGGAGTGTGGGTAAGTACTTTCATGAGGTGTTGAAATAGTGTATTTAAGCATGTGTTCCTATGGCAAGATCTAATAGTACTGTCTGCCCTAGTCACGACTGCCCCAGGAGGTTTGCAAATGAGGCTAATTCCGCTAGAGGTCGCCATTCCGCGGAATGCTGTGATGTACAGGAAACGCTGGTATGAGACGATTTCTCTGCTAAAACAGAGAACATGGCGTCGACTCGCCGTGAGTCGCCAACTCCTCCGTGGAGTGCGGCTCTCCGGCTGTTAGAGGCCGGGTGTTTTGCTCCGATCCGAGGGAAACAACTTCTGGCCATCACCAAGACAATTGTAGCGAGGTAAATCACCAGATAGTCAAAGCCTATAGTCCGTTGTTCACGATTTCCACCTCCCGACATGTCACTTTCGAATCCAATAACAGTAGTTGTCTTCGTCAGAAGGACTATGAAATTGTCTCGCCGGAGTTTGGGGTACTGCGGATTTTGCGATATAACTCTAGAAGGCATGATTCGACGTCCATGATTTTTGGCAGGCAGATTACCGCTGTTGAGGCCGAAGTCAAGTAGAAGTTTCGGCTTCGTGGGGGGTCCGTGCGTTACGTTAGTGCACCTTTTGTGTTTGTGGCTTGTTAGCAAGATAACTCAAGTATTTGTAAAATGTTGATTATAATTCTTGGTGTGGTGCTTACTATTGTCGGGACCAAGGTTAAGTTCGTTACTGAGCTTCGTGGGGGGTTTCGTTGTGATTACAGGTGGCATTTTGTTAATTTTTCTTGTGAGCAGGATAACTTTTGTATGTGTGGATGGAAGTTAATGAAATTTGGTAGGCATATTACTGTCGTGATCTCCAAGATTGAGTTCAAAGATGAGAGTCGTGGAGGTCGTTATGTCCCCGTAATAGGACCTTTTGTGTTTAGAAATCCCCACCTACATCTGCTTGGAGACAGCCGACAGCTGGATATAGCCGGGGAACCCCATAATGGGATGGGATCAAATGACGTTACATTGAGGGATTGTACTATAACTTCAGCAGGGGGAGGATAGGTTGGACATATGTCAGGTTATTTTCTACGGTCACACCAAGTAATTGCTATGGATGACGTCCACTGGAGACCTTAAATCTAATTACCTTAAATTTAAGGCAAGCGCGCAATAAAAACACGAAGGGCTGAAAAACGAGATGCCTAGATTGGGAATATACTAACTGTAGAAGTACAAATGTTACGACACAAAGAACACAAGTCTTCTATTTGTCATAAAGACAAATTAACAAAACAGCAGTAGTCACCCTGTTCTGATTCTTTCCTTTATAACATCTTCTCTTATTATATTTTGCGGCGCTGTCGTGACACTTTCAACACAGTAAG